AAGAGCGTTAGAATATGAATAACTTCAGCTAAGGCAGTCTTAGATATGTGCAAAATGTGGAAAGTAAGCTATATTTAAACAGTTTCATTATGCAAAATGTAGTTGCTAAGTAAAAGTTGAGACCTTACCTTCACATCGTGGGACAGTAGAGCTCCATACTACATTCCCATCTTGCATAATGCACGTTATAGATTCAGAACCCTGGGTCTTCACAAAGCCATCATCACAGTGAAAGGACACAGAACTTCCCAGAAGAAATCTGTCTCCAAAACGTCTTCCATTGATAGGAATGCCTGGATCATGGCACTCATTCTGACCAAAGGCTGATAATAAACATATAGTAAACATGGTAATAATAATAGCAATAATGACAATAAAAAAGGAAAAACCTCTAAACGTTCTCATTTTTATCTTTTTAGGCTAAAAAAAAATATCCTCAGATAAGGAACAAGATCACACTATAACGAAAAAGAAACTCTTCAATAAAAAGTCTGTCTTAAATCCAGGGACATTCACACAGACAAAACATACTTTATAGCTTATATACACAAAACACAGAAAAACTCTGCTTCAATTTCCTCTAGACAAAATTCCCCAAAAAAATGAGAAGTGTGGTTCCACACTGCAGCTAATGCACCAGCAGCTAATGCAGCTACTGCTGAAAACCATGCTCCTTCTGTCATGTGCTGCTGCTGCCCCTAATAATTAGCTTTTCACTGGGCTAGTAAAATCAACTAGCTCACTGCAAGGCTGCTGGACAGAGAGGCTTCCCATGGGACACCAAGAGCAGCCTGTAGCCTGGCAGTGGAGTGCAAACATAGAGGGCAACACACAGGGCCTCACATGTCAGCGTGTGTGCAGCCTTGTTGAGGGCTTTTTCACCAGTGAGGATGAATGAGTTGCCGAGAGCAACATGAATGATCATGAAGATGGAACAACCACCATCTGCAGTTCAAGAAAAAAGGGATGAGTGTTTGTCATCCTAACCATGTGAACGTCTGTATGTGGTGGTGATTAGAAATACAGAACTATAATGCCATGCTGTGTGTAGAAATACACAACATCTTAGCACAGGACAGATTTGGTTAAATGACTAATTACCCTGATTGACACAAGATAGGAAGAGCACCAGATGTAGCAAAGCAGACTTTATTGTCAATTAACTTCTTCCATAGACTTAGAAGGTAATTTCTTCAAGTAAAAGAAGATAATCTCCATTAATTCTGTCTTTGAATCAGTAATAAAACTCCTAGGAGTCAGCAGTTTATGGCAAATGTCAATGTTTTCCACACAAAATGTGGCTACAAGCTATTCAATTAGAATACTGTTGAATTATACGTGTTAATACAAACAAAACAACAGATAAACAAATAAACAGATAAACAAAACAACAGATGGGTGCATTTACAATCAATGTATCTAGAAATTTTTTTAGCTTGGTTTCCAAAAGGAGGAAGATTTATGATGCAATTGTTCTTCGTGTGTCTGTCTGCCAGGCCAAAACTTAAAACTTTTGAACTCACTTACCAATTACAACTAAATTTTGCATGCTTATGAATTGCATTCTCATAGATACCATGTTACTAAAAAATGTATGGAAACTATAGCTGATCAAAAGAATGACTCCTATATTAGTGTGCTCCAGTGAGAAACTCCTGCATCGAATCATCCATGTTCTTAGAAACTAAAGAAATGACACAGCAAGGCAACATTGAGGTGCACTGCTAAAAGGGTATATGCATTCTTAGGATTCTGTATTGTTAGATAAAACATTATCTAACTAGAAAATATAATGCACGAGGAGCGCAGGCTTCCAGAACTATTTGTTTGCAGTCACTTATTATTATTATTATTATTATTATTATTATTATTATTATTATTATTATTATTATGGGCTTTTCAGATGACCATCACCATATTTGGGATCTAAGCTTAACATAACCTTATGGTTCTATTGAGAGTTGGGTACATTAAAACATTTGCATGGGATGCTGTTATCTGAATGATCTCGCCTTTAGATACATGCTCCGCATTTACGCAGTATCATTGAAATGGATGGTAACTAATGAAGACAGTTCCTTGCCATTATCACAATTTACTTCTCCCTTCCAAATTAAAATCATGTTCTATTCACACTTTCATAATTATTAAGAAAGATAACTCGAATAGAAATTAAAAAAAATATATAAAAATAGGCATAAGATAAAAGCAGAGGTTCTTACTTGTATAAGTGATATTAAATCCTCTTCCAGTGGTAGAGTGATCTGACTGAAATTCAAGTCTTACTATATGTCCACTGCTAGCCAACTGAGAAGGAACCTCATTGCCAGAAAAAGTGCCAAGAGGTGGCAAATCTGAAATTCCATCATCTTTTACTGTAAGGTAGTCAAATTGAGGTTCTACGTCAAAGTCATTGAAAATCAGGTGGATTCTGCTTCCTGGCTCTGAGATAATCAACCAAACACAGTTCATGTTGTTCCCATACTCGTCAGGATAATTTGGTGAAAGAATAATTCCAGAAGGTGTGGTGAAGTTGAAGAAACATGAGACTGAAAAACAAACAAACAAACAAAACAACAAAAAAAGATTTTTGAAATACTATCATAAACATTCTGAATGTCCATCTTCATAATTTCCATTCTTGTGGAAAATATTTTTCAAGTTTGAATCTTAAAGCTCCTACACATGCAACCTCTAAGAGGCAATAAGTTTAAGACTGTCAGTATGTTTCTTCAATATAGCAGGTCAGTCTTCTTGTGTCTTCATGTTTTTTATTTCCTCATGTGAGACTATGTGGCAACTCTAAAGCTTGTAAAATATTTTTAGAAGCACATAGAGAATGTAAAGGTAATGCCGGCTATATCAGAAACTGCGTGAATTGATAAAACACAGTATTTTTTTTTGTTGTTGTTGTTCTGAAATGAGGAAGCAAACCACAAATTTACATTTATTTTTTCTAAACAGTAAAGGAGTAGATGTGAAAATGTATTTAGCAATCAAAAAAAAAAAAATCTTACAAACACAGCTGGGTTTGTTGCCAGACCACTGGTTGTTTTGTTGACATGTAATCGTTTTCTCTCCCACAAGTTCAAAAGCTGCTTGACATTCAAAGGTAAGTGTGTCGCCATGCAGAAAACTACTGCCAGTCCTTTTTCCATATGATGGAATTCCAGGGTCTCCACAACCTCCTTTCTCAATTTCTGAATATATATATAAAAAAAAACAAACTCAGTATTTATATATATATTTTCAAACAACTTATTCTGCAGTATGAGAAGCACTCCAAAATATTTGGCATTATACCTTGAACAAATATTTACAACTGAAAATGAATCAAAGCTAAAAGCTGTGAAAGAGTCTCTTTGGAGATATATTAATGTGTAGATCCAATTTCTGGTATTTAAGTACTAGTACTAAAGAATTTATCTTAACTCTCCAATCTGAAATCCAATTTATAAAGCTATTAACAATATGATTAAAAGTATGTAATTTAATGGTAAGTTCAACAGATGTTATTTTAAGCACTGAAGTAAAATAAACATCAAATTGAAGAATTATTTTTATATCTCATACTTTAAATTAGAGCCATATTTTTTGCCAACTGCATCTAACTACACTAAAAATAAACTTTTTACGTTCTCGTTCCTAGATATGCTCTAGCAGACTACTATTTTTTTTTTAAAAATATATTCTTTTCTTTTATAAACACTACATATACAAGACAACAAAACAAAAAACAATCTTATGAAATCTGTGAATAACAAGGGTATCAACAGCTGGAACTGTAAATAACAGTTTTCTTTAAATATTGTCTGTAATAAAAAAAAAAAGTTGTATTACCTTACAAATTATTTTAGAGAAGCTACTACATAGATATCCATTGAAAATGAAGACTTTCCGGTTATTAAATGTAATGGTTCTTTCCTATTAAATTTTAAGAAGTTTTGCTATTAATTTCCATTTGAGCAGCAACAATAATGAACACTTTTGAATCAATAAACTGTGTTCCTACTTCCGTAGAAAATCATGTATACCTCACTCCAGTGAAATCAGTGATAAAGCTCTCATTATTTAATGTTCCACAGTTCAACCCAATGTGCAAAATATGAAACATTATTATGGATAACAAGAAAATTCAACTCACTGAATAGAATTAAACATTACTATCATGTAGTATTACTAAGCATGTCTCCGGTCAAATGCCATTAAATCTACTAATGTTAAATCCTGACAGAAGTGTGCATCTTGACATGTAAATTCTGACAGGAATTGTAATGTGAAGGAGAGCAGCAGGTATGATTTATTACGATACATACAGTCCATTCACTATGCTTTCACCCTTAAAGCAGCTGTGAACAGATTCCTGACAATCATGTTTAGAAAGGTCCATCACATATTTCACAAGAGAACTTGTTATTCATGAGGATAAAGGGATGTATGTATTTTTTCTTGGTAATATCAAGATTGATCAAACAAGAAGTAATTAACAGCAACTATTCCATCAATGATGTTCAAGGAATTTCAAAAGCACATATTTAAATTATTCTTTGTACAAACAGAAAGCCAGAATGCATCAGATAAATGAAAATTATCTTCTGAGAAGCCCAGTACCAAGTAAGTGTTTTTTTTTTTTTTTTTTTTTTTTTTTAAGGAAGAAGGGAAAAACCATGAAAAATTTTTAAA